CACCACGGCAGCGTCGATCATGATCCACCAGCCTGTGAAAAACTGCCAGCAAAACACACCACTGTGACAGCCTGGCAGGGCACAGGGTGCCCAGAGAAGCTGTGGCTGCCCCTGGATCCCTGGGAGTGTCCCAGGCCAGGTTGGACGGGGCTTGGAGCACCCTGGGCTGGTGGAAGGTGTCCCTGCCCATGGCAGGGGTGGCACTGGGTGGGCTTTGAGGTCCCTCCCAACCCAAACCTTCTGTGATCCTGTGAAATTCCCTGTGCAGCCTCAGGAAGGAGAATCCTCTAAACACAGGTGAGGTACAGATGATGCAGGACAGGGGTGTTCCAACTGATCTAATTACACAGAAAATCCACAAGGAATTTCTTTTTAAAGGGGAGCAGAAATGGTTCATCAGCAGCAACATCATAGGACATAAAAACGCTGCTGACAATCTCACAAGACTTTAAAGAATCACAGAATGGCACTTCACAGAATCCCAGAACATGCTGAGTTGGAAGGGGATCATCCAGTCCAACCCCTGGCCCTGCACAGGCCCATCCCCAAGAGTCACACCCTGAGTCCCAGAGGATCATCCAAACCCTCCTGCAGCTCTGGCAGCCTTGGGGCCGTGCCCACTGCCCTGGGGAGCCTGGGCAGTGCCAACCACCCTCTGGGGGAAGAACCTTGTGCTGAGCTCCAACCTGAGCCTGCCCTGGCACAGCTCCAGCCCTTCCCTGGGTGCTCTCGGGGGGCAGCCCAAGGTGAAACCCCCAAAGGTGCAGCCAAACCGCCCGGCCCTGACCAGCCCAGCTCACCAGCACCCCCGCCACGATGGAGGCCACGGCGTTCCTGCGCTCGCTCCAGTCGATGCACTCGCACTCGGGCCAGCGGAAGTTGTCCAGGAACCCGGCCATCGCCTCCCCGCTTACTCTGCCCTGCTCCTTCGGGGCTGGCACGTGAACCTTTCCATCAACAGCCGTGTCCCAAGCACCTGGAACGCAGCCAGACACAGATCAGTGACACCTGCAGACCCACAGCCCTCCTGAGCGGTTTTACAGCACGAGGGTTCTCACGGGGTTGAGTCTTTCATCCGGGACCTTCTGGTGGAAGGTTCCCTGCCCGTGGATTGGGATGATTTTAAGGTCCCTCCCAACCCAACCCATTCCATTATAAACTCCTTGGGTGCTTTATTAAGATATATTTCAAAAACCACCCACCCTCAACAGAATTACAAAGGAAAATCATCACACAACCCAAAAACTTTAAGACTTAAAGTCATGTCAAGGATTCTGGATTAGATACTAACATTTCCAGTCTCCAGATTAGTAGATAATATAACACAGTGCCTTTCTAACACAGGCAAAAAGAAACCAACTCAGCAAATCAGCTGATACCAAGGGCAAGGAAGGTCTTGCTGCAGAGAAGGTCACAGAGAACTTTAAATATGGGAAGAGGAAAGCAAAGTTAATTAACTGATTCACAGCTCCTTCAGCACCATTCTAGTTGGGTTTAATATTGCCAACCTCCATAATTCATTTCCAGCCATTTGTTGAAGACTAACAACAAATGTCCTTCAGGATTCTGTCACAGCACAGGCTGATGGAGAACATATTCCTGGCTAATATCAACAATTAGAAATTCTACACTAAGAAATGGAATAAAAACGAATAAATAAACAGCTTGGCTAATTACAAAACACAGGTCACCTCCTGTGGACAGGATCAAAAAGTCTGTCCTGCTGGATCCAGTTCCAGAAACCCATAGTTGTGATGTTGCTTTAAACACCAGAACCAATCCCTCAATTCCAACACTTATTTTTCCTTTGTGCAGTATCTGGGCTCAACCACGTGGCCCTTCCTTGTTTTCAAACAGCTCCATCTGGACTCTGTCCCTCCTCCCAGCACTGATGTGTGTGTCCCCTTCCCCTGGGCCCGGCCGCTCCAGGCCCTTCCCGTGCCTTCCTCTCCCCACTGGGCACAGCTGAGGTGATTCCCTCACCTGGGAACACACTTTGCATCACCCAGAACGACTCCTGGAGCTCTCCCTGCCTGCAGGAATCACCTGTGCAAGCCTGGGTGACTTAGGGAACAACTCCTCTCACTGGTACAGAACTGCTCCAACTCCAAAGGCACTGGAACTGCACCAAACCCAGCCCTTCCCTTCTGGGACTGAGAGGAGACTCTGTTTGGTTTGGCACTACAGGGATAAAATGTTGGTGTAATGAAGGCAACTTCCAGTGCCCAGAGTGACTCACTGTTATCCTGGCAGAGCCCTCCCCACTCTGCACACTCAGGGCTGAGCCGTGTCCTGTGGACTCCCCACGCTGCACAAACCCTGCCTGGATTATTGGGGGATCCTGAACATGAGGGACAAACCAGAGGCGTTCTGCTCACTTTAGAATCTGGGACAAAACTACAGACAGGGAATATGGATCCATAGGGATCATGGAAGGGACCCTAAAGCCCATCCAGTGCCACCCCTGCCATGGGCAGGGACACCTTCCACCAGCCCAGGCTGCTCCAAGCCCCGTCCAACCTGGCCTGGGACACTTCCAGGGATCCAGGGGCAGCCACAGCTTCTCTGCCCAACCTGTGCCAGGGCCTGCCCACCCTCCCAGCCAGCAATTCCTTCCCAATCTCCCATCTCTCCCTGCCCTCTGGCAGTTTGAAGCCATTCCCTGTG